TCTATCTTGTCAAGTAGTAGGTTGTGATCTACTTTATCAAATGCCTTACTGAAGTCCAAGTAAATTATGTCCACAGCATTCCTCTGATCCACTAATTTTGTCACTTGGTCAAAGAATGCAATAAGATTTGTCTGGCATGATCTATTTTTGACAAACCCATGTTGGCTTTTAGTAATGACTTTGTTTGCCTCTAGGTGTTTGTTGATTTGTTGTTTGATTATCTTTTCCAGGATCTTCCCAGGTATTGAGGTCAGGCTGATAGGTCTGTAATTTCCTGGGTCCATTTTTTTCCCTTTTTTGAAGATGGGAACTACATCAGCTCTTTTCCAGTCCTCTGGTAGTTCCCCTGTGCTCCAGGATCTTTGAAAAATATAGTTCAGTAGTTCAGAGATCACATTTGCTAGTTCCTTGAGAACCTTGGGGTGTAATCCATCTGGTCCTGGCGATTTGAACTCATCTAGGCTGGACAGGTGCTCACTTACTATTTTCTTGCCTATCTTAACTTGTGTTTCTATTCTGTTTTTTATGGCACTATTTTTGATAGGCTGGTCTGTTTTTTCCCTTTGTGTAAAGACAGATGCAAAAAACGAATTAAATAGTTCCGCTTTCTCCCTTTTGCTTGTCACCTTCTTGCCACTTTCACCCACTAATGGACCAATCATTTCCTTCACTTTTTTCTTGTTTCTTACATGTTGAAAGAAGCTTTTTTTGTTATTTTTGACTTTGGTCGCAAGCCTTAGTTCATTTTGAGCCTTGGCTTTCCTCACTTCATCTTTGCAGGCTCGGGCTATTTGCTGATATTCTGACTTAGTTATGTGCCCCCTTTTCCACTTTTTATACCTGTTCTTTTTATCTTTCAATTTGTCAGAGAGTTCTTTATGCAGCCATGCTGGTTTCTTTTGAGAGCTGTTATTTTTCCTCTTTGTTGGTATTGTGCTAGACTGGGCTTTTATTATCTCACTTTTCAAAATTTCCCAAGCTTCTTGTGTTGTTTTCCCCTTGAGGATTCTCCTCCATGGAATCCTTCCCAAACCCTCTCTAAGTTTATTGAAATTAGCTCTCTTGAAGTCCAAGTCTCTAGTTTGACTGTGTTCTATTGCTTGTGCTTCCATAATGTTGAATTCTAATATTGCATGATCACTACCTCCCAAGGTTCCTATGGCTTCAACACCTTCTATCATTTCATCTCTGTTAGTGAGAATTAGATCCAAAATGGCTAATCCCCTAGTTCCCTTCTCTACTTTTTGGGAGACAAAGTTGTCTGCTAGGTTTGCCAGGAACCTGTTTGATCTTCCACTTGGTGCAGAGTTTGTGTCCCAGTTGATGTCAGGGTAGTTAAAGTCCCCCATTACTATTGTGATGTGCTTCCTACATACCTTAGTTAGCTGACTAGCAAAAAGTTCATCTATTTCCTCTGTTTGGTTTGGTGGCCTGTAGTATACACTTATGGCAATGTCACTTTTTTCCCCTTTTATATTGACCCAAATGCATTCAATACTAAAGAGGATTCTACACAACTGGACACACAACTTATTTAGAACTTTGACAACCAAATACTGATTTCAACTAAAGTACCTGTAACTCCAAAAGCAACAGGAACTGAACAACAAACACTATACACTGAGAACCTAGACAACCTAGACAATCAATTAACAACTACAACACCGGACATGACTTTTTACTCTAGTCAGATGAAACTGGAAGAAGAATAAGAAGACCAGACTGAACTAATGATAAACATTTTAAACCAAACATGGAAATTGGGATTAGGGCAACAACCTAATAACTACAAAGGGGCCAGTTCCTTTGAAAAAGTGATAACTGGCCATTCTCCCTTGATTCAAACAATATGTGTAGGAATGAAGGGAGACCTATTTGGGATTTAAAGGCACTGGTATGGAAACCTGCCTGGCAAAAAAAGAAAGTCAGAGTTAGGTTTAAAAATGGGACTCTTTTCTTTTGTTTTTTTTTGTCCTCTCCTCTTCTCCTTCCCTTAACGGGTTAAGGAGATTTTAGAGATATTGATTTATTTAATATTTAGGACCTAGATTTATAATGGAAATGAAAATTAATTGTTAGATTATAGTTTTGAATTGTAATATGGAAATGGGTTTGTGACCCTGAAAGATATTTTATTAGCAAATGAGGAGCTATCAGGACGAGAAATAGAATATATTTGTGAAATAAAGTAAGAATTTAATGTTCAGAATAATATGTGTATTCTAGACACGATAATTATTTGGTAATGAAATGAGGGAAATTGGGGTTACCTGCAGTTTAATTATTACGGTTATTAATGGCTAAATTGGAATATGGTAATTGGAATTAAGTAAAACTTAAAAAACAGGATTTGGATATGTATAAGTAAAATTTTACTGATTTGATTGATTGAGCTCTATCTAGAAATATATTAATTTGAATATGATATAAAAATTAAGGGAAATAGAGAGAGAACTTTTAATGAGGTAACCTGAGATATATATGAATGATTCTGTTATTGGATTTTGATTACCCTTTCACCACGCTGCTTCCTAATTACTTGAATGTAAAAATTGAAAAGTTAATAAAACTTGTTTTTTTTTTAAAAAGAATAGGTACACTCTGCCACACATTTAAATTTTTCAAGTAAAAAGATTGAGATGGTGTCACATAGTTCTATACATTAACCATTCTTTTTTTTTTGCATTTTTTTTTCATATTCAGCTTCACTTCTTTTTGAAAAGAGTCTCATTTAACAACAGTGCTGGGGATGCAATTTCTTTTGACCAGAATGGAAAACTGATTACAGGACTGGAGATTGAGAACTGGGTCACTTTCCCCAACCAATCCTTGCATCGAGTGAGAGTTGGAAAGCTGGATCCCTGGGTTACTGAAGATAAAATGTTCACCATTCATGAGGAAGCTATCAACTGGCCCAACATTTTCAACCAAGTAGGTTCTGAATGTCAGTTATTTTATCTGAAATGATTGAGATGATATTCTAAGAGTAGTTTTAAACCTAATATTCTGGAGTTGTTCCTCCTATTATCAAACTCAATTTTCTAGTACCATTTCAGAAGCTACTTCAGAAACAGTTCTCTACTTAAACATTTTTTTCAATTCAAATTATTATGTAATTCAATATTTATATAAATTGTAAAACAATTTTAAATAATTAAAAGTATCTATAGGTAAAATCATATGTAATGTAGGTATTCTGTCACTTTTTGAATTTAGAGTTTCCCAGGTTTTTGGTCTCAACATTTCATTAAACCTGAAATATTTTCTGATAATATTTATAACTGATGATAAATATAAATATTTTTGCAATTGTTTTTTTAATATTATGAACCATCATTTCAAACAAGGCATGAATTAATGAGGTCCTATAAAGGTTATATTTTTATGATTTTGACACCTCTTTGCCAATTAAGATATTAAAAATAGAATTTTGAGTTAATAATCATGTTTTACAAATTCTTTGGAAATTTAATGATACCTTAAGATTTATCAGATTTACCTCTCATTAAGTTTATCAAACATAATATACACTTTACAAAAGTCATTTTATTTGAAATTATTGGGATAATATTCTAAGAGTTAGTGTATAACATAGACAGTATTTCAAATACTGGGAGGAATTGTCAGCAATGTAAGAAGACAAAACTTCAGAAAAAATAGGGATTTCTATATAATTACATGAATTAATATTGTCTTTCCAAGCATATTTTGCTGTTAAGCTTTAAAAGACAAAGAAGATTGTAAAGTTTTTACACCAATAATAATTTAAAGGATGAGGGCCACTTAGTTTAGTTAGTAACCACTGCATAACCATGGTTCAAATAGAAAAACTATTGACTTTTTTCAGTACAGATATAAGCCTGAAATAAAATAACTCTTTGAGTTAGAGTAAACCATAGCAGACAATACTTCTATAGCAGGGCTTTTCAACCTTTTCACCCATAGTATCACTTTTAGGATATGGCAATATCCGAATACCACCCATCGCCTAGCAAGGTGTCAAAAACTTGATGACCCAAAAAAAAAAGAAAAGGAAAAAAGTGATAAAGTACAGGTAGTCCTTGACTTACAACAGTTCGCTTAGTGACTGTTCAAAGTTACAATGGTACTGAAAAAAGTGCCCCCAAGCCACAGCTGAGCAAGACACCTGCCTGCCCGCCCGGTGGCGCTCTTCCTCCTGTCCGAGGTTTTCATTGCTGTGAGCATTTCTGTTGAGGATTGGCAGTGGGGGTAGGGTGGGGGGTGTTTAGTTTTTATTTCTCCCGTCTGCTGGGTGGTTGCAGCAGCTTTTGGTCACTTCACATGACCTTGGGATACTGTGACCGTCATAAATATGAATCAGTTGCTAAGCATTTGAATGTAAATCACAAGACCCTGGAGATGCTGCAACATCTGGCGCTGATCCTGGCGCTTCCACTGAGCCCTGACAGCCCTGCAGCTCCAGCCATCTCTAGCTCAGGCTTGTGCGGTGCTGCCACCAGTTCAGCTCATTCCCCTCCCCCGCTACCACTTTTCTAGGATGGTCGCATACCACCTGCCAGGTGCCAATGTACCACAGGTGGTACCCATACCAAAAGCCCTGTTCTATAGTCATAAAAAGATCTAATCAAGTCCCAAGGTTAAATTTGATTTTTTTCATTTCAAACAAAAAATTCAAAAGTGGTTTCAATGTAGCAACAAAATTACCCAAAGTCTTTGATTTAAGTACAGCAATCAATTTTGCCATCTCTACCAACTCCGGTAACTTTATTTTATATGTATTTGCAAGTCTTTCCATTTCTGGTTGTGAAGAAGCCTTTCTGTTTTTAATCATGTATAACAGTGGTGGTGAACCTATGGCACAGGTGCCAGAGGCGGCACTCAGAGCCCTTTCTGTGGGCACGCGCGCCGTCACCACAGTCCTAGGCCTTCAGCTGGGTTTTATAAAATCTTTTCGCTTTAGGCCTCCACCGCCATGTGGAAAAAAAAAGGTTCAATCAATCAGTCAATTTCAACTTCTCACGGGAAAAAAAAAGATCTTGCAAAGTTGGAATTGATTGATTGAACATTTTAGTCCCACCCATTCTGCCGTTACCACCGCAGCCACGCAAACCCAATGGGCCACACCCAGCCAATGGGCCACACCCAGCCAATAGGCCATCCACCTGGCACCCAATGATGCATAAGTGGGCTTTGGGTTGCAGTTTGGGCACTCGGTCTCTAAAAGTTTCACCATCACTGATGTATAAGAACAAAGTTCCAATTTTTTTTTTTAAAAAAATTGTCATTAACACCTAGAAAAAATTCTAGCTACAGTTGCACATTCAATTTGAGAATTATCTGAATTAGAATATGTATTTGATCCCCAGCATTTCTTAGTTTTCTTACATGTACATCAAAGATGATAAAAGATAACACAATTGCTTCCATTTCCAAAATACATTTGATACTCCTTTATATATCTTTGACAATTTATCAAATGTTAAATACAACAATACTTCATTTTGTAAAAATTCTTTCATATCAGAATTCATTATGAATCTAATTATTCCAAAGAGCAAGCATTATATTATATTTCAAAGTTTATTGCACACATATACACTTTGACATTCATTTTACATATCATTTTCAAAAATATTTTATACATCTTTGCAACAAAATGTTCATCATAAATTCAATTCAAATTCAGTCAATGATGAGTCCCACTGAAATAATTTCAGCATTGGGGAATGGTCTAAGCCTGACATATTTCCGAGTTTTGAAGAAAAAATGCTACCTATATAATTAATGGAACTGAAAAAAGAATTCAATCTTCATTAGTTTTGATGATTAGGTTGAAGAAAAAATCCCAAATCCTTACAATTAGTGTGCAATTTTAGTCAACCATGATTATTCTTTTATTTTTTGAAATACATGATTGAACATCTTCCTTCTTTAATGTATTGCATAGACATTACCTAATTCCCTGTGTACTGAGAGCTGCTCCCCTGGTTATTTCAGGAGAAAGCAGGAAGAGAAACCTTTTTGCTGCTATGATTGCCTTCCATGTCCCAAAGAGAAAATGTCAAGCCAGAAGGGTAAGAGACCTTGTGAACCAAGTTGATAAATGTTTATGCAGATCCATGAATATACAAGTAAAGGAGCTGAATTACATTCTTTGTGCATTGACAGGTTTGGATGATCCAGCACATATTTTTCTAGGGCACATTAACTTATTTTAAAAATACCTGAAATTTTGGGACACTATTTCCCATTAAAATTTTGATGTAGTTTACAAAAACTCCAAGGAACTAACAGAATTGATTTTTAAAAAAACAGTACTGGTTATCATTGGGTGGACAGAATTGGAACTGGCCACCCAGTTATTTTGTAATGGTTCTGACAGATGAAACCCTTCAAAAGAACCTCGAGGCATTGTTTACCTTAAAGAATCTTTTATTCGGGAAATAAAGTATCGGCACTACATAGTTGAACCTAAAAACTAAATTTCCCTCCCCTGGATATAAAATAACAAAGTACAATTCCCACCCCCAATAAACAGTTATAAATCACATTCCCCAATTAGCTTAAAGCACGGGCTTTCTCCCCAGCTCTTCAGCCCACCAAACATTATCAGCTCTGGACCCAGTTTGTCCTTGGATTCCCATGGCAGAGTTGTTGTTGTTGTTGTTGTTGTTGTTGTTGTTATTATTATTATTATTATTATTATTATTACTATTATTATTATTATTATTATTATTATTATTATTATTATTATTATTATTATTATTATTATTATTATTATTATTATTATTATTATTACTAACTAACTAAACTCTCATCCCAATCCCTCCTCCCAGCACCAACTGATTCTAAACGCATAGAGAAAATGGCTACATTTTCATCTGTTGTCAAAGCAAGAACATCCGATGTTAGCACCGTTGACATCCGGCCCCCCTTACAAAAAGGACAAGTCCTGTAATGCAAACAAAACCATACGTTAGGGGTTGCCTCTTGGTTTGTTAGGGTGTTTCCTATAGCATTTATTAATGAATCTGTTAGCTTTTACATTGCTAGATTTTACCCAGGTGACTTCAGACAATGGATACCCTTTCCATTGCACTAAGTACTGTAGCTTCCCTTTAAAAAGTCTAGAATCAAGAATATGCCTCACTTTATAGGGTCCTAAGTATTTTAGTCCTAACTTCTTACTAGGTAACTTAAGCCGTAAATATTTTGTGGACAAATAAACCTTTTCCCCAACTTGGAACAACCTACGAGGAGCTCTCTTTTTATCTGCTTGCTTTTTATATGTCTCAGAAGCTTTTTTCAAAGCACTTTTTGTGGTTCTCCAAACTTCTTCCCACCCCCTCATCCACTGATCAAGAATTTGGGAAGTGTAGGGTCCCTAAGGATATGTAGGTATTGGGCTGAACTCTTTTCCTGTGGCCACTTTAAAAGGTGTAAAACTGGTGCTGCTGTGAACAGAGTTATTGTAAGCCACCTCTGCAAAAGGGAGGAGGTCAATCCAGTTCATCTGCTGATAATCTACATCGCATCTGAGATACTTGTCCACCATTGAGTTTGCAGATTCAGCTGCCCCATTGGTAGATGGGTGAAAAGCCAACGACAGTCCTTGAGATGAGCCAATAAGCTTAAGAAAACCCCTCCAAAACCTGGCTGTAAACTGCAATCCCCCAGTCTGAGATTATATGTTTTGGTGCGCCATGCAGTATGTTTCTGTATTTCAGAAACATCTTGGTTAGTCGCTGGGTGGACGTGAGCCCTTTGCAGGCAATGAAGTGAGCCTGCTTTGAAAACAGATCTATCACAGTCCAGATAACTGTATTTCCCTTGCTTTCAGGTAGGTCTACTATAAAATCCATAGCAATTTCCTCCCATGATTGGGAAGGGTCCGTCACTGGTTGGAATAGTCCAGGGGGGTTCCCTGGGATTCTTTTCATGGTGGCACATACAGCACAACTCCTGACATAATTCTCTATGTCCTGTTTCAATCTCGGCCACCAAAATTGCCGGCAGATTAGATGTAGTGTTTTTAAATATCCAAAGTGCCCAGCCTGTTTTACATCATGGCCCTGCCAGAGCATGTTAAGGCAGAGGGTTTCAAACACAACTTCCCCCCTGTGTAAGCCTGCATGTTAGGGAGGTTTGATTGTCTTTGAACCATTGGTCAGTGAAGAGCTCCTGTTTTATTTTCTTTGCCCCAGGGTCATCTTTTGAAGGTGTGCGGCGTTAGTTGAGAAGCAGTTTGTGGAGCAGATATAATTGCTTCATTAACCTTTTCATGTTGGCTCCTGTATTGGGACAGTCTGAATAAAGCATCTGCTAAAAGGCTTTTTCCTCCTGGTAGGTACTTTAGGGTGAAGTTAAATAGGTTAAAGTATTGTGCCCATTGTACTTGTTTTGGGGACAATTTGCAGGGAGTTTTCAGTGCCTCTAGGTTTTTGTGATCAGTCCATACCTTGAAAGGCACCTTGCTCCCTTCTAGATAGTGTTGCCAGTTTAATAGAGCCCAACGAATCGCAAAGGCTTCCTTCTCCCACACAGCCCACCTCCTCCTGCAATCAGTGAATTTTTTTGAGGTGTAGGCACAGGGTTGTAGAACCCCATCCTGGTTCTTTTGCAATAGCACAGCTCCGATGGTCATGTTGCTGGCATCGGCTTGAATCACAAAGAGTTTCTCTGGACAAGGATGTTTTAAGACCAGTTCGATTGCAAATAGCCTTTTCAAATTCTCAAAAGCAGTTTGACAGTTCATAGTCCATGCTAGTGGCTGGCCTAGTCGTGGTTTCCCTCCCTTCCTGCCTGTTTTCAGTAAGTCCGTAAAGGGTAAAGCAATTTCAGCAAAGGAGGGGATGAACGGGTGGTAAAAGTTGGTGGATCCTAGAAAGCTCTGAAGCTATTTGCGAGTCTTTGGGGGTTGCCATTCAATTATGGTTTTCACTTTGGCCGGGTCCATTTCAATGCCCTCATTAGAAATTCTGTAGCCAAGATAATCTGGTGATAGTCAGGTCTGGTGAAACTCACACTTTGATAGTTTAACATAAAGTTTGGCATTCAGCAGTTTCTTTAGTACTTCTCTCATTAGTTTTACATAGTCAGCCATATTCATGCTGTATATCAGGATATCATCAAGATACAGCAAAAACCCTTTGTATAAATGGTCATGTAGTACCCAATTGATCAGCTGCATGAAGACAGCTGGAGTCCTCTGTAGTCCAAACGGCATGACTTTAAATTGGTAGGTCCCCATGGGACAGTTTGTCTCTCTCTTTTATCCTCACTCCGTAATATGCCTCTCTCAGGTCCAATTTTGCCAGGTGGGTCAGTAAGTCCTTCAGGAGGGGGAGGGGGTATTTGTTTTCCATGCTCACAGCATTTAATCCTTTATAGTCTATGCAGAGACGAAGTGACCCGTCTTTTTTTTTCTTTAAATAACACTGGAGCTTCCACCTGGGATTTGGCTCATTCAATAAATCCTCTCGCTAGGTTCTTGTTCACATACTGCTGCATTTCCTCCATCTCATGGCATACATCCTCGGTCGTGGGAGTTTAGCTCCTGGTAATAGTTCAATGGAGCAATCATTAGGCCGTTGGGGAGGCAGGATATCACATTCTTTCTCACTAAATACCTCTGCTAGGTCCCGGTACTCACTGGGAATGAGTGGCTCGCCTGGTTGAAATAGAGCAGCTATCTTCCCTAGCTCAGTAGATGGGCTAAACTCTCTGGTAATGTCAGTCGAGTTAAGGAGGGGCTTGGATCCTATAGGTAATCTCATAGTTCTCATTCCCTTCTCCCACCAGATAAATGGCTTCCATTTGTCTAACCAGGCTAGACCCAGGATCATGGCCTCAGTCATTTTTGGAGCCACCAAGAAATAAATGAACTCCCAGTGCTCACCTATTTCTAAGTGTATGGGTTCAGTTAATTGTGTGACTAAAATTCCTCCTATTAGGGAGCCATAGGCTTGCTCAAACCTCATGGGTTTGGAGAGTAGCCTTGCTCGTATGCCCGTTTTCAGGCTAATAATGCACCGGGAACATCTTGAGTCCACTAGTACTTTCAGATCTACCTGTGCCCCCATATTAGGGATTATGAGCTTGGCAGGCAGAGAAAAAGGTGGAACGGGTTGATTCACCATCGGGTTGTTTTCTCCTTCGTCGTCACTGTCATAGGAGGGCAGAGTGGCAGCAGGTCTGGCTTCTTTCTCGCTGGTGGTCCTGGTTTACTGTGCTGTTGAAGGTAAGGGATTGGGGAACTCGCTGCTTGATGTCCCTGTTGTCCACATCTGAATCATTTGATTGATGGGCCTGCAGGTGGCTTGGGGTTTTCCATGGCAGTTGAGTGCTTTTGAGTGGGTGGAGGCCATCTGGGTTGATCTGGCCTCAGCCCATCTTCTTGTGGTGATGGCCTCTTATAGCAGGCAAGCTGGACGTCAATCCTGCTGCCTGGTACCATTCTTGCAATTGATTAGGGACTGCTCAATAGACGCAAGCCTGGGAGAGGTGATCATCCAGTCTGTCCTTGAAGTGATGAACTAAGGATTGCTTGGGCCATCTCTCTATTCAGCCAGCTATCTTGCAAAACTCTTACACATATTCCAGTGTGGGTCTGCCAGCTTGTCTTATTTTATGAATTTGCTCTTCCACTTTGAGGGCTATGGATGGGTCCTCAAACCTTACTCTCAGCCCTAGGAGGAAGAGGTGGAGGTCCCCCAACTCAGGTGCTTGCTCATTGTATAAATTGTTCAGCCACTCAGATGCTTCCCTTTCCAAGTTGGCCACAACCACACTGATCACAGCGGCTCGATTCTGGTAGAAATAGGCACAGTGGTTCAGGTGGGAATGCACTTGGTTGAGGACGAAGATCAGCTTTTCCGGGTCTCCATCAAAAGTTGCTCGAAGGGGTGGCATCATCAGCGGTTGTTTCACTCCCCAGTGAGCCTGCATTCCCGGTGGTTGCTGGCCTCCCAAGTGTGGATGTTGCACCCCAATGGTTGCTGACCTCCCCATCGTGGCTGTGGCATCCCCAGTTGCTGCAGGCCCCCCAGTGGTTGGAATGTGTTCGGGGGCTACAGCCACCCCCACTGCTGTTGCTGTGCTGCCAGCGGCTACTGACCCCCTGGTGGCTGTGGTACTCCCAATTGCTGTAGGACCCCCAATAGTCTCAGTGGCTGTGGATGTAGCACCCCCAGTTGCTGCAAGCCTCCCAGTGGTAGGTGTATGGTCAGGGGCTGTTGCCACCCCCATTGCTACGGGAAGTTGTGTCATTCCCAGTTGTTGTAGCCCCCATGTGCCCCCAGCAGTTGCTGCATGTTCAGGGGCAGTGGCCAGCCCCATTGTTGTTGCTGCACTTCCAGCGGCTGTTGGCCTCCCTGCTGTGGAATCCCCCACTGCTGTAGAGGCCTTGGGTTTCAGCTGTCCTGGTCGCAGCTCAGGTTCTTGTCTCGCCGGTGGCAATCTGGGCTTCTGGAGGGGTGATGGTACTCTGGGCTGCCATGTCTGGAGCAGTGGCTGGGGCTGTCGCTCTCTGCGGGGCTGGAGGCTAATGTATGTGGCTTCGTGGATGGGGAAGCTGCTTGGTTTGTGCAAGTGGGGCTAGCGCTTCCTCTTGGCAGGAGTTGGTGACTGCCCCATCAATCATCATGATTGCTTGCGTATGGTGAATGGGAAGGTTGTTCCCCACTTCTCATCTCTAGCCCCTCCAATCTCTCCACAACTTCTCCACTGATTAACTATGGACTGCGGATAGGTACTTCCTCAGCGGTAGTCGATTTTGTGGCTCTCCATCAGTCCGGGGAATGTGGCTTTTGAGAAGCCCCTCTATGCAGCTCAACCTCACCTGCCTTCGAAGCACTTGATTGTGGCAAAGCCATCTCGAGGTGTCTGGAGTCTCCACTGGGTAGGGTCCAGTCCGATGATCAGATCAGTTGTCTTCACAACTTGGGTCTTGCCCCCATCTGGGAGACTTGAAAAGACTCCTTCTCCACCGGCACACTGGCCTGCATTCCCTTCTCTGAGGCAGCAGCCATGGCCAGGGTGCTGGTCTCAGATGCCCCTTTCTTTTCCATGTTGAGATCTTCCCCAAATCTTTGTCAGTCTATCCCTTGACTTTAGGGACAGTGACTGGAGCTTGGGACCCCAGGATGGATAGGTAAAAATTGTAGGTTTTGGGTTAATGTCATGGTTCCAACAGATGAAACCCTTCAAAAGAACCTTGAGGCATTGTTTACCTTAAAAAATCTTTTATTCGGGAAACAAAGTATCGGCACTACATAGTTGAACCCAAAACCTAAATTCCCCTCCCCTGGATACACAGTAACAAAGTACAATTCCCACCCCCAATAAACAGTCATAAATCACATTCCCCAATTAGCTTAAAGCCCAGGCTTTCTCCCCAGCTCTCCAGCCCACCAAACGTTATCAGCTCTGGGCCCAGTTTGTCCTTGGATTCCCACAGCAGAGTTATTATTATTATGGCTAACTGAACTCTCATCCCAATCCATCCTCCCAGCACCAACTAATTCTAAAAGCATAGAGAAAATGGCTGCATTTTCATCTGTTGTTAAAGCAAGAATATCCGATGGTAGCAGCGTTGACATATTTAGTGAAATAACTGTGTTTACAATGTTACCTCAGCTTTTCATTTCTATACATACCTGCAAAATCTAAAATGCAAGTATTGGTTGCAAAGTTCCTTTTTCTTTAATTTTGCAATTGTGAATGTTTATGAAACCACAAAATCACTTAGAAAGATGTGTACATGTGTACATTTTACTCCAATCCTCTACACTTTGGAAGCTCATCCAGTGCTAGGATACTTAGCAATAAGAGGATTGATATTTGTATTTGAATTCATTGAACTGGAAGAGATTACAAGAGTGAGAAATTATATAATCGGGTATATATATATTGTGAGCCTACCTCACTTAGGAACCACTTAGGATGCAAACAAATTTCTTCAGTGTGAAATTGGTGGGCCATTATTGTCATTGAAGGGCCACAGAGTCATGCAGCTGGAGGGTTTTTAATAAATTAAGATCACAGAAGTGAGCTTGTTAATTTTCAGTTGGCACTTTTAGGGAAAGTGCAGGGTTGTATAAAAAAGGAGCTGAAGAAGAGATAGCAGGTTTGGCAATCTCTGTGCTGTTTATGGAGAGCTAACAAAAATAGTTTAGGCACAGGAACACACTTAGCAATTGACTCTAAAGTGTGAAAAGAAACACTGCATTACTGCAAAAGTCGTAAACATGGGCATTGGTCAAAAAGTTACTTTTTCATCACTGACTTAACTCTGAAGTGATGCTGTCCGAATCAGTTACTAAATGAAGACTCCCTGTAGAATTTTCCATTTCTATTAAATTTGGATTATGGTTTCCTTTTTAACAATATATTGCACTAACTTTCACACAACCTATTCCACATGATTCAGAAAGCTTCCAAAATGTTTCTTACAAGGAGAATAGAGAATGATCCTTTACTTTTAGCAAAATATTTATTAATGGGTCTGATTATTAGTTTGATATTTTCATGTAGAAAAATAAAAATTTAAGAATATTAAACAATGATAGAGCTATTTTTATTTTTATTCATATTTCAACAATAGTTGTTTAGAGTTCCTTGTTCAAAACTGATGTAACAACAAAACTAAAGAAATACAGTACATAGACACCATCAGAAATAAGTGTCATGAAGTGAAATAACATTCAGTAACATTCTCTCTCATAGGACAAAATTCTCATATTCCCCTATGTTCCTTTATGTGCCAAATACAAGAGCAGATATTCAGATGGAAAATATCAAGGCCAATTTTGCTTCCAGAAAAAAGCTTCTTTTTCTTCTTCTTCTTTTTAAAGAAAGTTTTATTGGTTTTCTAGTTTTACATTTAAATATTGGAAAAGCAACGTGGCAGCTGAGTTGCTCAATAATTCAATAACATACAAATATCTTTAGTACAGATCTCAAACTATTACATTAAATGTTGAAATAGGAGGAATTTTGGTTACTAAATTTAAGATATCTGGAAATTACCAGAAAATAAGAATATTATATTGTATTACTAATTAGTTGATATAAGATGGTGAGAATTCAAATAGATAAGATGTGTATTCTGAACATTAAATCTTGTGATAAATTGTGATAAAGGGAATTGGGGTTATTTAAAACTTGGAAATTATAAATATCAAATGTTAAATATAAATATTAATGGGAAACCAAAAATTAGGAAAAATTAACCAGGACATTGATTGTCTAAAAAGATTGAATGTTAAAATAACTAGGATATGTATAAACTAAAAATTATTGATAAATGCAAGAAAGTTATTTTTTATTTAATTGATATAATAAGAATTGTACTAATTTAAAGATGAGACAATAAATACTAAGGGGAAAAGAGCAGAGAAAAGCTTTTTAATGATATTAACAATAGGATGACTGTAGAACAAATGTATAATGGTTTTATATTTAAATTCTAGATATGAATGACTGTCTTAAATGCCCAGAAGATCAATATCCAAATAAGGATCAAGATTCATGTCTACCCAAGAAAATATCTTTCTTGTCCTATAAAGAACCAATGGGGATAAGTTTAGTTACTCTGGCAATTTTCTTTTCTCTCTGCACACTTGTAGTACTAGCAGCATTTTTGAAGTATCACCATACTCCCATTGTTAAGGCAAATAACCGAAATCTCACCTACCTCTTACTCATGTCCCTCTTTCTCTGCTTCCTTTGCTCACTGCAGTTCCTTGTTGCACCAGGTAATATAATATGTCTCGTTCGACAAATTAGCTTTGGCATCATCTTCTCAGTGGCTGTGTCTTCTGTGCTAGCAAAAACCATCACTGTGGTTCTGGCTTTCATGGCCACCAAGCCAGGATCCAGGATGAGGAAATGGGTAGGAACAAGACTGGCCACCTCCATTGTTCTTTCTGGTTCCCTGATTCAAGCAGGCATCTGTATGGTGTGGCTCTTCACATTTCCCCCTTTCTCTTATGTTGACACCCATTCAGAAATTGAGGAAATTGTATTGCAGTGCAATGAAGGCTCAGCTACCATGTTCTACTGTGTACTGGGATATATGGGCTTTCTGGCAGCTGCCAGCTTCACAGTAGCATTTTTCTCCAGGAATCTGCCCAGCAGTTTCAATGAGGCCAAATGTCTCACGTTCAGCATGCTGATCTTCTGCAGTGTATGGCTCTCCTTTGTTCCATCCTACCTGAGCACCAAAGGCAAATACATGGTGGCTGTGGAGGTTTTCTCCATTTTGACCTCCAGTGCTGGGTTGCTGGTCTGTATATATTTCCCCAAATGTTACATAATCATTGTTAGGCCAGAGCTAAATAACAAGGAACAACTAACAAAGAGAAAATATTTGTAATATATGCACAAACAATTCCTATTTTCAATATTCCTCTCTTTTCATATCCGTCATTTTAAGCCTCCACATATTTAATCACTGAATTTTGGTCTGGGGTAGAAATTATTAAGATTGGTTTTTTGGGGGGGTATATTAGTAAAATTGGTTAAAATGATCCCTTTTCCAATTAAAATTGAAAAGCTGAGAAATGAATGAATCTTGTTTTGGAGTGCTGTTGTTTGAGTCTGGACTAAACAACAAGGGACAGCTAAGAAAAAAAGTGTATTTTTAAAGTATTTTACACTGTTTGTATACATACTGTTGTACTTTTTATTCTTTAAAACATTATTAGCTGCCCAGAGTCACCTTGTGGATGAGATGGGTTGCAAATAAATAAATTAAATGAATAAATAAATAATAAAGAGATACTTAAGAAAAAAAATAAAAGTATACACCAAAAGGAATTTCTGTACCTTAATTGTACTGACCTGATGAAGCAAAGCACATACTGCATCTTGGTTTTACAGGAACATAGTATCAACCCTGGAAATAGAGGAATACTTGTTCTGTTGTCAAAGCACTTGGCTGTCCAACAGGTACATTTTAAAAGTTTGAATAACAATGGACATATGATTTTTTTATTCAGTTGTTCCTATTTCTGCTTTAGGAAATCCATGGGACACTAAATAACAGCAAACTTTTCTGAGAGTACATATATAGATTGTACTGGATTGTTATGCAGCCAATTATAGCTACTTATTAATTTAAATATCTGAGCAAGCTAAGAATAATGACTATACAATCTGCTACTGGTTCAGTTTTCAGTTGCCATTGTTCTAAATTCTGGAAGTCTGTATGGTCTCTGACATGGCGCAATGTACTTTCCAGAAAATATTGCCATATTTCAAAAAGCACACATGAAAACAAAATGGATGAGTGCCAACTAGCTTGAGTAACACTTCGCTAACTGTGTCATACACAGTAGTCATATCCAAAACAAATAATTGTATGACATCTGGATGCAAAGATAGTATTCAGAGATTTTTATGACTTTTGGGCACTTCATCTTAAAGAAATTGTTTTCTTGCATAGGAAGAAAAAACACATTCAGACTTTATTGCATTGCTTCTATAACTGCCAAGTTCTTATAGAAATTTCTATGACTGCCAAGCAAGCATGTTCTTGGACATGTGTGAGGTTGTCACAGCTAGAGGGGATTCACCATGTTATGGTCCAGGCTAATGCCAATAGGGGAGATGTAGTGGCTCAAAAGATCTATGGCTCCATTCATTATGTCTGCAATGAGACGATGCTTTCAGAAGCATTGCAATAAAGTCTGAATGTGTTTTTCATGTTTGGAGTAGAATAGAGTATATGAGTATGTCAACCAAATAAATTATGATATGCTGGTCATGAAAAACATTATTCATTAAATATTGAAAGATGTAAGCAATGTTACATAGATAAAATGTTGAAATCACGTACTCAGAATGATCAAATCTGGTATAAAATGTGGTCTTTTTTATATGTCTTTTCTGAATATGCACTATGCAGGGCTTTTCAACCTTTTCAGAGATTGTACCACTTTTAGGATATGGCAATATTCAGAGCCTTCCTGATGCTGATGGACCTGTCGGCATATATCCACTCACTTCATCCAGCAAAGCAAGGCTAACCCAGCACTCTTGCCTGCTGCCATGCCGGCAGGCCCATCGGCATCAGGAAGGCTCCAAAGGAGGTAGCTGTGTAGGGGGGGAGCAAGAGGCTTTCCAGCAGGTGCTGCCATGCCTACAAATGAGGTACTGCCCCTCTGCTTTCCAACCCCGAAATTCCAGAGGAAAGTTAGGTAGCCTTTGAGCGCCCCTGACAAACTGCAGATCTAATGTAGCCTCAACTGCCTCCCCCTTCCTTGGCAGGGCGAGGCTGGAGCACATGGCCTTTAGTCGGCATGGTGGTGGGCGGGAGCTCTGGGTGAGTGCCACTTTGCAGGACAAAGCGGATGGAGGTACTTGTAAGTCCAGCCCCAGCTATGGTGAGGAACAGCAATTGTGTCAGGGCCCAGGGGACGAGGAGAAGGAACCGGAGGGGCCCGCTGGATTTGGGTGGTTCCTTTGAGTGCGATGGGGTGGACCGGCCCCTCGCTGTCTCCAGGGTGGCCCCGGGCCAAATCTAAACAACCTGCAGGCATGTCTATTTTATATCCTCTTCTCTCTCCCCCTCCTCCTCCTTTTGTCAGCTGCAACTGACTCCTTTCCCCAGGCTGTGTGCAGCTTCTGGAAGCCCCAGTCAGCTGGAGCCTGGGCACTCAGCAGAGCCCCAGCAACACCATGGCTCCAGCTGTGTTGATGCCACTTCAGTTCATCCCCATGTTACACTTTTACACTTTTTTACACTTTTGTTTCTAGCACTTTTCAACCCATCATAAGCGTATCACCTGCCAGGTGCCAACATACCACCAGTGGTAGGCGTACCACTTGTTGAAAACCCTGCACTATATAGTGTATGCCCTGTGTATTCTGCTAGTCATTGCATATATCCTACATCAGGTCAGTTTCTCCAGTTCTGTTTCCTTTGACAGTGGGTACCTCTGGTCCTGATGAATGCTGGGCATATCAGCCTCAGCTGCCTGAATGATTGGAAATTTCATTCTTGGGATGGGTTTTCCAGTTCTCCCTGAATAGGTGGCATGGTCTCAGATTCCTCTGAACTGTAACTAGCTGTGACAATTATTAGTTACAAATAGTTTGAAAACAATATTTGTCTACAATATGGACCTGCTACAAAAGGTCAAAGTCAAGGATGACAATTCTGCCAAATCTAAAAGAATTATTTTAGGATAACTTCTCTTCATTAACCTTTAACAATGTTAAACATCCAAAGTGTCCCACCAGTGTTGAGCACCCACATGCACAAATTTTGCTTTGAAATTATACCAAGTCCATTTTTTGGAAATTCTAATTGAATAGTCATATGTTATTAGTTTGTTAATATGACAACATTTCTCTGACTCTTACATTTGAACAAATCACACAGATGAGACTTGGAACCATGTGAGTTTTATATTACATTTTCTAGGACTGAAGGAATATTTTCTCCTTCTTCTTTTTAATAAATTTTATTTGTTTTTAAAACATAAATCACATAATAGTTGATTAACAGTGTGTTTGCCTGGCTTACATTTACAAAGGAAAATCATCAACAATTAATATCTATAATCCATAATCCACGTATTCACACAAATGTTTCTTTTTTCTTTTTTCTTTTCCCATAGATATTCTCTCTGATAGTTCCCGTCATCAATATTCTTAATTTTCACTTTAATATTAAAATATTTCCCTTTAATCAGTATCATGTTTGATCAATGTGTTTCGCTGAATCGGAGCATTTTTCCCTTTATTTTTCCCCAGCCAATCATATAATTTGTTCCAGATTTCGTAGTAATCTGTTTCACTCTTATCCTTAAGTACTAACATCAACCTATCCATTTCAGCACAGGATAAAATCTTATTCATTACCTCTTCTTCTGAGGGTGTCTCACTGTCTTTCCATCTCTATGCAAAGATTAATCTTGCTGCTGTTAGCATGTGTAATAATAGGTATAAGGATCCTTTATTGTATCTATCTTTAGTGATACCCAGCAAAAAGAGTTCTGGTTTTAGCTCAATGTTCTGCATTAGTATTTCTTCTAACCACTGTTTTATTAAATGCCAAAATTTTTGTGCTTTTGAACATTCCCACCACATATGGTAATAGGTCCCTAGCGATTCTTTACATTTCCAACATTTGGGTGAGGCCTTTTTATCCATTTTGGCTAATCTCATAGGAGGAAGGTGCCACCTATAAAACATCTTGTATACATTTTCTTTGTATCCAGTAGCTAGTGTGAGCTTCCTATTTCTTTTCCATAAATCCTGCCAATTATCTAAGTCAATACCATAGCCGAAATTTTTACTCCAAATTAACACTGTGTCTTTTACTTGCTCTTCCAACATATCCCATTCAAATATATATTGATATATCCTTTTTATCTCTTTCCTCCCATTCCTAATAAAATTTCATCTAATTCTGTATGCTCTAATTTTATTCCACATTCTTTTTTATCCTTCATATATCGTGATTGAATTTGAAGGTACGCCCACCATTCAAGTTCTATCCCTTCTTCTAATAACTTTTCCTCGATTTTAATTCTCCTCCTTCATCCAATATGTCGTTATAAGTGATCGCCTTTCCTGATTTCATAAAATTTGGATATATGAATATCTCCAATGTGGATACCCAATTAGGAATTTTCATGTAATTACGTTTTTTAATTCTGACCCATATATTTAGTAGTGCCCGTCTGATGTAATGTTTCTGGAAGTACTGGTGAGCCTTGTGCTTTCCTTGCCAAAGAATTGCGTGCCACCCTGTCTGCATATTGTGGCCTTCTAAAGCTAATAATCTCCTATTTCTCAGATGTATCCACTCTTTCGCCCAAGTAAGCGTGGCTGCTTGATAATATTTTTCCCAATCTGGGAGGCCGAATCCACCTCTTTCCTTCAAATCTTGTAGAAGTTTGAATTTAATTCTCGGTTTTTCCCCTTGCCAAATAAATTTAGATATAGTTTTATTTAAGTTTCTGAAAAACTCCTTTCCTAATCTAATTGGTATACATTGGAATAAAAAAAGTAATTTAGGTAGTACATTCATCTTTATTATTGCGATTCTTCCCATGAAAGAGAGCTGCAAATTTTTCCAACTATCTAAATCCATTTTAATTTGATCAACTAATTTATCATAATTATCTCCTTTAAGTGTAGCATATCTCGCTGTCAATTGAATCCCTAGATATCTCACCTTTTTTGTTATCCGGATGTTTAATTTCTCAACTAGCTCAGTTTCCTGTAGTTTCATCATATTTTTAACTAACATTTTAGTTTTTTCTTTATTGATCTTTAAACTTTTTCGTATTCTCCCAATACTTTTTAGTTTCTAAGCCTTTAATTTGTTCTTCTTTTCGAATAATTCTAGTAAAGACTTCT